AGTTGCCAAAGAAGAAGCCAAAGAAACACCAATGAGTGAAAGAGGAGGAGGGTGGCTGGTTGGCTGGCCAAAAAGGGTACTTTCATATCTTTTCTAATCACATCTAGGCTGAGCAACCTTTCCTATCTATCTATCTATCTATCTATCTATCTATCATCTATCTATCTATCTATCTATCTATCTATCTATCTATCTATCTATTTATTTGATTTATACTCCACCCTCCCCAACAAAGCAGGCTCCTAGGAAACAATTTCCTAGAAAACAGTTTAAAGGAGAATGGGGGAAATTAAGATCCCCAAGAAAGCCAATCGATCAAATGGTTCTTATAAAGCCTTCTTGTTTTATTTATTTACTTACTTCATTTATGTCCCATCATTCTCCCCAAGGGAGACCCCAAAGCACCTTATATCGTTCTCCTCTCCTGCATTTTATCTTCACAACAACCCTGTGCTGCAGGTTAATCTGAGAATCTGTGACTGGCCTAAGGTCACCCAGCAAGCTTCCATGGCAGAGTGGGGAACTGAGCCGGGGTTTCCCAGATCCTGGTCTGGCACTGTAACCAGTACACCACATTGGCTCTGAAACTACACTGGTACTGGTTTTCTGGTGCTTTTAACACAGACCAGTGGGGACTGGGGAGCAGTTTTGGTTTCACTGATACATTGTCATAACAGAGAGAGGAGAATGTCAATCAGTTCAGTATGAACTTTGAAGCATAATTAGGGTTGCCAAGTCCATCTTCCACCCCCAGCGGGGGACTTTGGAGGGGGTGGGGCATCACCGACGTGATGACGTCACATTGGGGACGTCTGCCTTCGCACGTCCACACGCCCGATCTCCAGAAACGCCAGTTTCCTGCACTTAAAGGAGCCGGTGTTTCCCTTTTAAGTGCATAGAGCTGGCATTTTCCTGCAAGCCTGATCTCAAGTGGAGATCAGGCTTGGGAGGAAACGTGGGTTCCATGAACTTAAAGGCAGCCACTCCTTTCTCTCGAGAGAAGGGAGAGGGATGGCTGTGGGTGTTGGGGGTGGGTAGAACCCCCCCCCAAAATGGGGGACCCCTGGCAAACCTGGGGGTTTTGCAACCCTAAGCGTAATAGTTCTGTTTGGATGATGATGATGATTATTATTTTAGTTATATACCTGAAAAGATTAAAAGGCTGTCTTTTGAGTGTATTCTTTGCTTAGGAAGGCCATTCCCTTGTTTTTGTGCACATGGTTAACTCTTTTTAAATGGCCGTTTGGCAATTCCTGATTTTAGTTAAATGTCTTGCACATTTTCTTCTCAGCTTTTCCTAGCTGTCTGTGTCTGCCATTTGTTTTCATTTAGCTTTCCTCTTGTGTTAATGGGATGGTATGAACTTGTATTCTATCTTTGTTAGCCACTTTGAAGCCAAAAGGAAAAATACAAGCTTTTAGACTAAATGCATAAATATATAAGTTGTTGACCTTAACGAGGACACTCCATAGCTGCTCCCCTCAGTGCCAGGAAGTGTCTACCATAGCTGGGAACAGGGATGGGCACGAACCAACTTACGAACCAAAGTTCATCACAAATTTTGGCCAGTTCGTGGTTCACGAAGCAATGGTCGCAAACTGAAGAGCCACCACAAACTTCCACAAATTTGATGCCGTTCATGAGGAGCAGAAAGCAGGCTCATGAACCAATAAGAACCGGTTTGGTTCACAAACTGGCGTATCAGTTCGTGGTTCAGCCACAAACCACGAACCGAACCGTAAAAATGTGCTTCGTGCCCATCCCTAGCTGGGAACTTGGAGCTCCACCCAGTCATGTGGTCAGTTTGAAAGAAGTGGTAGATCCAGTATCCCATCTCAGAGCCACAAATCCTGAGTGCCACACTATTGCATAGGCAGAGGCTGAATAAATAAATGCTGGAAGCAACGAGGTGAATACTTCAACCTTAGAGGACATAGGCAGTACTAACATTTTGGGATTCCATAGACTCATAGAGTTGGAAGAGACCTCAAGGGTCATCCAACCCCTTGCACAATGCAGGAAATTCACAAATACCTCCCCCTCCACACCTGCAGTAACTGCTGTTCCATGCCCAGAAGATGACAAAAAAACCTCCAGGATCCTTGGCCAAACTGGCCTGGTGAAAAATTGCTTCCTGACCCCGAAGTGGCAATCAGCATTTCCCTGGGCACGTAAGAAACGGCCACAAGAACTAAGCACTGGGGCAACCCTTCCTGCCCTCCCTCTCATGATCTGCCTAAGTTCACACAATCAGCATTGCTGTCAGATGGCCATCTAGCCTCTGTTTGAAAACCTCCAAAGAAGGAGAGCCCACCACCTCCCGAGAAGGCCTGTTCCACTGAGGAACCACTTTGTCAGGAAGTTCTTCCTAACGTTTAGCTGAAAAATCTTCTGATTTTATTTCAAACTGTTGGCTCTGGTCTGACCTTCTGGGGCAACAGAAAACAACTCCGTACTGTTCTCTGTATGACAGCCCTTCAAGTACTTGAAGATAGTTATCATATCCTCTTCAGGCTGCAGCTGGTGCAGAATGCAGCGGCAAGGCTGTTGTTGTGTCTTCCTATGCGGGAGCACATCCAGCCTGCCCTAAAAGCACTGCACTGGCTGCCTATAGCATACTGGATTCAGTTCAAGTTACCTTTAAAGCCCCATATGGTCAGGGACCTATCTACCTAAGGGACCACCTTTCCCCATATGTTCCTCAGAGAGCGCTAAGATCAGGATCCCAAAATCGCTTGGCCCTCCCAGGCCCTAAAGAAGCCAGGCCGGCTGTGACAAGGGCCAGGACCTTTTCTGTGGCGGCCCCTTACTGGTGGAACGAGCTCCCGGATGACATCAGGGCCCTGCGGGACCTTTTACAGTTCCACAGGGCCTGTAAAATGGAGCTCTTCCACCAGGCTTTCAACTAGGGTGTTGCCTCCCAATATTGTGACCCTGGCCCTAACATCAGCACTAACCTAATAACAGCCTGGCAAGAAGTCAGTCCATATGGCAGCTGATTATTTGGATGCCAAGAGAACGCCACCACCATTTACCAGCACTTATGTTACTAGCACCTATGATTTTATGCGGTGTGTTTTATTTAAATTTTGTGTTGTAATCATGTCTTGCTGTTTTATTTATACACACACACACACATATGTTCTGTAAGCCACCCTGAGCCTGCCTGTGCATGGAGGGCGGGATGTAAATTAAATAAATAATAAACATACCCAGCTCCTTCAACATTTCCTCATAGGACTTGGTCTCCAGACTCCTCACCATCTTCGTTGCCCTCCTCTGGACACGTTCCAGCTTGTCTATATCCTTCTTAAATTGTGGTGCCCAAAACTGAACACAATATTCTAGGTGAGATCTAACCAAAGCAGAGTAAAGTGGTACCATCACTTCGCATGATCTGGACACTACTGTTGATACAGCCCAAAATTGCATTTGCCTTTTTAGCAACCACATCACACTGCTGACTCATGTTCAGTGTATGGTCTGTTAAGACCCCTAGATCCTTTTCGCACATACTACTGCCAAGACAAGTCTCCCCCAACCTATAATTATGCATTTGATTTTCCTACCTAAATGTAGAACTTTACATTCATCCCCATTGAAATTCATTACATTTCTTTTAGCCCAGTTGTCCAGTCTGTCAAGATCATCCTGAATCCTGACTCTGTCTTCTACCATATTTGCTACCCCTCCCAGTTTAGTGTCATCTGTAGATTTAATAAGCATTCCCTCTATCCCTTCATCCAAATCATTGATAAAGATGTTGAACAAAACAGGTCCCAGGACAGATCCTTGAGGCACTACACTTGTTAGTCCTCTCCAAGAAGATGAGGAACCATTTACAAGCACTCTTTGGGTGCAATCTGTCAACCAGTTACAGATCCACCTAACATTCACAGGATCCAAACCATATTTTTTCAATTTGTCAACAAGAATATTATGTGGAACCTTGTCAAAAGCCTTACTGAAATCAAGATAAACTATGTCTACACCAACGTCCATTTGTTAAGACTGCTTCATGAAATACAATTTACTTTGGGGGGGAGGTATGAAAGGTGGTGTAAAAGAGCAGTGTTAAGAATTGTCTTGCTTTCAGCTACAGTGATACATTGCAGAAGTTCAGAGACTTTGGCAACAGCTGATTGGAAGTATGAAACCCTGAAAACATTTTATTAAATGTGATGATAAACCACCTTCTGTGTTTTGTCAGTTTGTACATTACTGAGATTCCTTTTGACCATATTTGGAACATTTTTTTTTCCTGAAGTACATTCGTTCACAGTATTTTGTCAGAAGCGGAAGTAAATGTTGAAATGTTTTGTTCTGTGTATTTTTGGAAAAAAATATTGTTTTATGGAAGTGGAAATTAATAGGCAAGTCAGCTGTGCTGGTGCTATCTCAGTGGAACTTTTGGAATGCCTCAAATATTGCAAGTCAACATTCTCCTTTTTGGTCATGACAGATGAAAATCAACAGGAAAAAGCACAAATTACTTGGGCAATTTCACCTAGAAATCCTTAAATACTGAAGAATTCATACTAAAGTGAATGTAGAATTTGATTGGGAATTCAGTAACAAAAGAGAATGCTGGAGCAAAAGCACATCTATTTTAAATTTATCGTTAAAAATAAATCCTTCTTAGAAGTTCATATCTTGCAATCTTATGCAAGAAATTTAATGTCAACGTATCATGGTCATGGGAAAATACAGTGGTTAATCTGTGACATTATCTTCTAATCAAAACACAGGAACACCGGGCAGTAATCGAAAGCAGTGCCTTCACTTTCTTGCTGATCAAATCATTGCCAAGCTTTGCTTTACCCTGTCATATTTGAAGATAGAAGGAAATCAGCCGTGTGACGATATACAATATGTACTGTGAAGCAAACTTCCACATAAGATTGTTTTAGTCAGATAAAGTGTTTAGATTAAATCGTTGTCATGATTTGTGTGAATACCGACTTCTTTCCTAAGTATGGCTTTTCCCGCTCTCCTTACAGCTTGATCAAGTTATCCGTCAACGTAGCCTGTCCAGTTTGGAACTGTTCCTTTCGTGCGCACAGAAGCAACTGAATACTTTATTACAGGAAGAACCTCCAGCTGCAGTTGCAGAACAAACTAGCCTTCCACCTTAAACTGACTTTATGAAGCTACCAGTCCTAATGCTGCAGATGATGTCTCTAAGCCCTTGGGGATTTGATTATTGATTCAGGATCAATCAGGTGGCCTAATTAGCTGTTGTATGTTTTCATGATCAACCTGTTGTCAGCTGTGATGCTAGTGGCCATGAAATCTAACAATACAGTCAGAGATTATAAGGGTTACAATGATAACCTGGCTTTGTACATTTTCAGAATGGCCCAGGAATGTTCCATTTTTCCCCTCATTTCATATTTTTATTAAAATGAATGCAAAAAATAAAGCCCTTAATTATCCCTGTTTCGTTCAGACAGAAATTTGTCACATGCTTACTTATATGCTATTATATTCTAATTTTAAAAATTATAAAATGTACAAAAACATATACTAGTGTGACATACTGTCCTTAACACCCTTCTATTTCTACTTGTGTGCCTTAGATTACCCTGATGGGAAAGGGTATGTCTTCTAGTTTTGCAACACTGTCTAGTTTCAAAAATTAATTCCACCTACACTCTGATGGGAAGTAATGTTAAAGACATTGGGATATAAGGTAGCTCACAGAAGACACAAGTTTAACATAAAAAGATGGCTTTTATATTCTTTGGAAAAAATTGTGGTTATATTGCTGGAGGATGACGTTACTGCCCAGACAAACATTCAGGTTGGTATTTCAAAAATCTGTTCTTTACTCTTAGTATTGGCTTTCTCTGTGACTGAGATCTCTACCTGCTCTATCCCATGCATAGTCTTGTAAACCTCAATCATATCACCCATTAGCCATTTTTTCTCCAAGCTAAAGAGCCCCAAGTGCTTTAACCTTTCTTCATAGGGAAAGTGTTCCAACCCTTTTATCGTTCTGGTTGCCCTTTTCTGCACTTTTTCCAATGTTATAATATCCTTTTTGAGGTGTGGTGACCAGAACTGCACACAGTATTCCAAATGAGGTCGCACCATTGATTTATACAGGGGCATTATGATACTGGCTGATTTGTTTTCAGTTCCCTTCCTAATAATCCCCAGCATAGCGCTGGCCTTTTTTATTGCAGTCGCAATAAAATCCATAGCTGTTTCTGCACCTGTCATTTCCTCCCTGTTTATATTGTGTTCTGCATTTCCTCCCGGTTTCACCTCACATGTACGTCGGCTTTTGTTGTTGCTTCTGCATTCCTTTCCCCCCATTCCACTTTCAGTTCGCTGAATCCCTGGCTTTTCCAGATCCTGTTTTGCCACGGTCTTTTTTCTTGCTTAGCTTTCAAGTCAAGGGTATTTCTGATGCAGCCATTATTCCATGGATACTGCATCACTGCCCACCCTTTTTCTGCCCCTTTCCCACCCCTCTTTTATGTCAATCCCACCGATCACTACTGCGCAGCTGTGATAGGGCAATCATAAATTTTAAAAACTTTGATGATGCCATCCCCACATGCGCATGTTACAAGTGACATTCCAACCCGATGTGGAAAAGTGCATTTTTTAAATTGTAGCTGCAAAATAAATACACTGCAGATGGCAGGAACAGAAATCCAAAGTCAAGTTTAAAGGGTTGACTGCTCGGATACTCTGCAGTAAGTTGTGAGTGCAGAAAGGGACCATGCTTGACCCTATCTGAGGTAAAAATTCCCTCCCTCAACATTCCACTCCCTGTGTATAATCCCATTAGATGTTACCGAGGCCTCCAAATCTCCCCAGATTTTTGCAGGAGAATAGCCATTGTCAACTAGGGGCCAGATAACCTCATGTTTGTCACACAGTCATCATCCCCAGGAAACTCATTAATGCAGGTGAAACTTCTTTCAGGTCTTTATCTGGTCAGTGGTTAACACCTGCTTTGGTTACTTTACTTTTGTTACCTTGTAATTGTATCAACATGTTCACAACCAAGACATTAACAATGCATAACAAAAAGCCTAATTTCAATACACTCTGATTATGTTTACACATTACACATTTTTCATTTAACAGTCCCAATCATTCTCAGTTTACACAACGTTTGGACAGTGCACCTTCCATTAGTTTCTCATGTCTACAGTCATGAAGGATGCCAAAGTCCTGCAATAATGAGCTCCACCTGAGCAATTTCCCACTATTGCCTTAAGTGTTATGTAGCCAGCACAGAGAGTGGTCCACGCAAGGGGTGAATTTTCAGGCTCCTAAATATGTGC